GGAATTACAGGCATGCGCTACCACGCCCGGCTGATTTTTTGATTTATTGTAGAGATGAGGTCTCGCTGCCCAGGCGGGTCTCGAACCCGCGGGCTCAGGCAATCCACTCACCTCAGCCTCCCAAAGGCGCAGGATTACAGGCTGAGCCACCAAGCCCGGCTTCCCAATGGTTTTCATGTTTCAGTTTCCTTTTGAAATTGTACATGTAATGAAAACTTCAGAGTGGTAAGTTTCCTGTGATTCATTACCTTCTCACAAGCTAGTCTTCTAGTGGCAGAATCAATTCTACTTCTTTTTTTGTTAGGTCCTCTCTCTTCTGTGCCTTCAATACATTCAGCTTGTGTTGCTGTTACAGCGAAGACCTCTCTATGTCACAATACCTGTTTGTGTGTCTTTCATACCCACTGGGCTGTCAGTTCCTTGAGTCCAGGGACCACGTCTTATATCTCACTCATCTTTGTATCTTTCTTGCATAACAGCACCTGGTGATGTGGTTGGCACCTAGTAAACAAATGAATTTATTCTATGGAGATTTGGTCTGACCTTTGTTTGATACTGTATTTGTCATGTTTGGGGCTTAATTTGTCACATATACACATATAATTGGAGTGTGTAATTGCATGTTTTTCCTAGTACTATTATTTTTAATCTCCTTTAATGTGATATCCTATTTGAATAGCTTCTACATTAGCATGAGGATTATATATTTCCACTAATTAGTAAAAGTTTTAAAAGAGGAGCCCTTTGGGACTGCTTGATCTATCCACTTTTGCCCTTAGTTTCTAGAGAATTCTATTATTGGGTTTCCTATCTGCTATTTTTCAATCTGCTGCCATCCAGATGTCTCTACATTCAGCACAGTAATCGCATTACTGGTACAGGAGTGCCAACTAACTGTGTACCCAGATTATAAAGATGATTAAGGCTTACAGTCTATGGGAGGTAGGATAAATGGCCTACTGTGATAGATTGTATAGTGGCTGCCCTAAAAGCGAAGAGAAGGAGCACCCCATGCAGACCCATAGGCAGGTGAGGGTCAGGGGAGGGCCAGGGAGAGCTCTGGGGAGGAACCATTCCTGAGGAGTGACCTAAGGAGATTAGTAGGTAAAGGGAAGAGGGAGTTTTCTGTCAGAGAAGAGGCAAACACAGAGTTGAAGACAGCATAATATGTTCTGAGCACATAATATGTTCATAATATGTTTCTTAGAGCCAGGGAATGGTGGAGTAATAATGTCTGAGCACTCAACTGGAATCACAGCTCAGCTCAGCAGCCTTGGAGGCCATGCTAGTAGATATCCGGATTTTATCCTGTCAGTTGTACAAAGCAGCTCTGTACCAACACTTTTGCCTTCTGGTGTTGATTTCTGGCCAAGATTCCGATATAAGGTCGTTAAGAGCGTAGACTTTGGAGTCAGAATGTTTGGATTTGAACCCTGGCTCTGCCATGTAAATTGCTTTGTGATCTTGAGAATGCAGTTTACTCATCAATTAAGGAGTAGTACTTACTTGATGAAAATTGTTCCAGAGGTAAATGAGGTGATAAATGAGGTGACAATGCATAGAATAGCAACTGGCATGTGTTTGTTAAATTAAAATGTTTCGCCATGGTTAAATAGCCAATCAATCACATGCTGACAAGACTCTGCTCAGTCCCAAAGATCAGTTAATATCTTACAGAATGACAAACTGTTTATTTTCAAAATCAGTTTATTTTTAAAATTACGTTTGTTATGTGGTCTGCAGGTGTGTGTGTGTGTGTGTGTGTAAGGGCTTGAAAACACAAAGTAGCTTTATTTGTTCACTCCCTCCATCTAAATGAAAGGAGTATGGATTATCATAGAAATCGTAAGCTTTAGACTTTAGGATGCAGGGAGTATTGGAAGTGAGGAATGAGGCAGGAAACTGCTGCTGATATCAACTCAAGTCTTTCTGTCTGCTACACAGAAAGTGTTGAAAGAAGTCTAGAGAGATGCTTGTGTCCTGGGCTTCTGGAGCCAGTCTTTTAATCTAGGAGAACACAGAACATATTGCTACTTTCTACTACTTAGACTCTAGAAATAATGGATCTCGGACCTTCACTGCCTCATGCGTGTTACCACATACAAAGATTTTTGAGGTGAATTACTCTTACTGTTATTTCAAGTTATCTTCCCTGCAACAACATTTAATTGGCTTTCATAGCCCCTGCTTCATTAGAACATTCCAGAAACCCTAACTTCCAGGGCCCTTAAGGAGTTACCAAACTTTTGCATTTGAATATTCCAGAATCCTTATACCGTCAATCTTTACAACTCATTTCAAGTTTCCCTGAAACTCCCTTTTGTTATTAGCTGATTATATAGACCAGAATGTCAGTGGCAGTTAATAATAAGAACATTTGTTTTTATTTTTGCTTTAGCAGATTATTTTAAAAACCATGTCAATTAGGATTATTTTGGTAAGTTAATTGTTGAAAAAGATTCTTTTTTACAAGCAGAATATTGGGAAACTTAGTGAATCATACTGTTATCAAAATAGCAACATGTCTATGTTTATATTTGATCCATTATGAAACTTCACAGAGAAGGCCATCAGTTATTTCTGAAATTATTTCTTGCAAAAGTATTGGTCTTGAATTCTTGACTTTTCTGTTATCTGTGTGTCCTTTCCTTTTAGGATGGGTCTGCTTTATAATTAGTGATAGTACATGTCTGTCTTTAGGCAGCAGTCTAATCTTTCTGACCATATGTGCAAAAGCTGTATAATTATACTGTAGTATTAATTGAACCATGTGACTGTTTTTGTTTTAATTATTTCACATCAACTTATCTTTCTGTTCCTTAAAGCATGTTAATGGTGAATTTATGGATACCATATTTATGTTGTGTCTGTGGAATTAAATATGGGCACATTTACATAAGCTTGGTAAACAGTCCTGTTTCTTTTATCTTCATAATGTCATGAATTTTAAAAAAATCTCTCTCCAACATCAATTTAGGCTTGAAGAAGAAAGATATTTTAAAGAATCGATTCTTTACATTTTACTCAATTTAAAGAACAGATTGAATTATAGATTACTCAGGATGAGCAGGGTCACTCTGGGTTGTTAGAAATTCTCAGATTTACTTCTTAATGAATTAGGAATTTACATGCTAATGTTACACCTTTTGTTTAAATAATTTGGTAGGAAATTTAGTGTTAGTTACCCATTTTCACTAAATACAAGTACTTGGCAGACTGTATGTAGAAACTGGCTTTCTCTGCGTTCAGATTTTAACCTTTGTCTCCCTATTTTTTCAGTTGTTTTTATTTCAGTTGCTGCGAGGGCTGTCTTACATCCACCAGCGTTATATTTTGCACAGAGACCTGAAACCACAGAACCTTCTGATCAGTGACACGGGGGAGTTAAAGCTGGCAGATTTCGGTAGGAAAGCAGTTAATTACCAGTCTATTTTGTCACACTGTGAGAATGCCAGGCAGATGGTGGCACTGCATTTGTTTAGGTGCACTTCTTTTGTCATCATAGATCATGGTCACATTTTTTTTTCTGGAATGAAGGAATTTTTTTTTCATTTTTACAATAACGTAAAACATAGTGCTTGGAGAAGTTTCATAAAATTTAGAATTCAGACTGCTTGTTAAAGACTTATGTAATAATTAACGTAAAGAAGATCTCATTAACATATATTTTCAAAGGAAAAGTCAGTAAAATTTTGAGTATACAATATAATCAAGAAAATCTTTTTTTCCCACTTTTTATTATGAAAATGCCAAACATATTGAAAAGTGGAAAAACAGCATACTTAACCAGCTTCAACAATTATCAGTATTTTGCCAAATTTGAATAAACCTGACTTTTAACCTCTGAACCTTTTCAGCACATTGCAGAATGTATCCAATAGTGTACTTTGCCCTAAAGCTTTAATAACTAGATATCTACATGTTAACCTTTCCAGAATTGACTATTGTTTCAAGTATTTCTAGTAATGTTGCAGAAGTAGACACGTATTTAAAAGTTGGGCTCCTGGAGTGGGCCATTATAAGTGGATCCTTCCTTATAGTTTTAAGATTAGTCTTTTCCAGCTTAGAAGCGTTCCTCCAAACACTGTCTTTGAGCATCCAGAGGGAAGCAAAATTGTTGTACCCTCCTTGCTGACTGCTGTTCCCTTGATCGAGTCTGACGTTTCTGCATGGCCCAGGCTCACTGTCACGCTAGAGATTGTGTTGAGTTGATTCCCAGCACCAGGGACGCCTGATGGCGGCATGGTGTGTTGACATTGCATTGCCTCAATTATTTTTGAATGCATATTCTGATTGGAAATTTGTTCCATTAAGAATGGAATGAAAGTATTACCCTTGGGACATAAAGATGGCTGAGGTTGAGATATGGGCTTTTTTTGAAATATGATTACCCTTTTCTACTCCACCTTCCAATAAATAAAAGAGGAAAGGAAATGTTTATTTCTGATTTCAAGGTTAGTTGACTGTTGAATACTTTTGGAATGAATCTACTCTGTTAGGTTTTGTATATTTTTTTCTTCAAAAAATGAAATAAAACAAAAGTTAGCATAAGTAGAGATATACTGAAAAATTTTGTCTTTTGTCCATATCTACTTTGATAAAAATGATGAAGTTCTGTGTATGTGTGTTTCTGTATTTTGCTTATTGCCAGATTTTAGCATCAGAATTATACCAAGTTGCTAGAATATAAAGTCTTTCTTTTTTAGGGTAGAAAATAATGGGAGAATAGGGGGCTGGAAGAGAGAAGGGTTTCAATTCCTCATGTTCAAGTATATTGGCTTTACAGTGAACATATTTATCAGTACATGAAAATGAATATATAGTGATTTTCTTGTGAGGTATTAATATACTATAAGGCATATGTTGAAATACATTATTGTACTGAACATTGAATTGTATTAAACACAGGTTTTTTTTGTTTATTTTTAAAATACATTTTTATAACGTTGATTTGTACATGTAACCAAGGATATAATAGGATATAATAGGATTGCATGTATGGGATTAGTAGGGATTACATTTTAATTTTATGATGATATTTTTATTATAATAGGTAAATTCATCTTAAAAGATTCTTATAGATCTTTAAAACTGATATTTTCATAATATCAGAAACAACCAAAATATCACTGGAAAAACTTTGATGATTTTTTAGAAAATTAGAAAATCTAGACAGTATGGACAACTCAGAGATGACAGACGTGAACATTTTGTTGTTTATTTTCCTAGCAGCTTTCTCCTTTTTCTTTCTCTCATGTCTTGCTTTGTCTACATATTTCATAGCTTCAAAAAAAGAAACACAATTTTGTCAGCACTTCTCACATAAGAATATGACATTTTCTCATGTTATTAAATATAGCAAAATAATTTGTGACAGCTTAGATTTTGTTCATTAATGGCAAGCCACGTCTCTATTCAGTCCCTTGCCACTGAGTATTTCCGTTCTAATTGTTCATTGTTATACACAGTCCTGTACTGAACATTTTTGTGAAGAAAGTGATATATGCTGCCAGTTGCAATGGTGTACTTTAAAGTGTTTGCTCCTTTGGACCAGACTGCTCCCTGGAAGGGCTATGTTTGTGCATCTTTCCTCAGGGTCATAGCCTGAATCGTCCAGCCTGGAGTGTGCACTTAGCATGCATCCTGTGCAAGGAGTGTAATGAGCAAGACTCATTCAACAGTTTCCCCCAATTAATTGTGCATTATTTGTCATTTACTTTAAAGCATGCAGTTAACTGTGATTTACTGTGTTTGAGCATGTGTGTATGTGATTGAGATGAAGGGAACACACTGGAAACCGCAAAGAGGCTAGACAATCAAACTGGGATGGTTCCAGACAGCAGAACAATTAAAAACACACAGTCTTAATTCAGTGTTTGATGTATGCACAGTTTTAGTAATGGTTTCTTTATCTTGCCTCTTTCTTTTATGTGAATAAAACCATACCATTTTGATCAAAAGAGACAAATACATTCTGTATTATTGTAATTCCCATATTGTAATACTTCTAGTGTACCAAAGTCATTTGGATGATGTGTTTGTTTACTTTTTCCTTGAACTACTTGATTAGAAGTTACATGAAAGCCGGGCCATGACCTATCTTGCTCTCTATTGTCTCATTATCTCTAGCATCATGCTTAGCACATAGTAGATGCTCAGTAAAGATTGAGTAGCTGAATAAAAAATATTCCTGACTAAATCGAGTATAAATCTAAAGAACAAGACCTGCCTTAATTTACTTTCTGTTTGATTAGGTTTGGCAAACTAGCAGTTTATAAAATAATTTCCTCTTCGTCAGCGCTGTCCTGACTATGCATGGTTAAGAGTATAGATGGAATTAAATGACTACAGATGATGTTGGAGCCTCAAGGTTATTTTGAGGCTCTTACTCAGAGGCCCTACTTACCCATTTGGTATTTACTATGTTTGTCATCTCAGGTTGCAAAAATAAACAACACTACATGAATGTAAATATACAGGAAAGATACATAAGAGTTTAGGTTTCTATTCTGCATTCCCTAAATATAATTGTCTACTTGTACTGTTTTCGAGAGCCAGGTGCGTTGAGCACTGACTTAGGAGACTTGACTCTGTCTGTAACTAGCTTGTAACTCTCAAGAAGTCATTTTCCCTCTCTGAGGCTTATACTCCTCATCTGAAAAATAATAATGTTGAACAGATACTTTCTAAGGTCCATTTAATGCTCGCTTTTTATGTTGTACACTTCTGAATTATTATTTTCTAATGACCAGATATTTGCTAGCTGGTAAAAGTCTTATCCATTGAATCTAGAATCAGTGCTGTCCCATCCCTCCCTGAAGTCTCATTTTTGATTCTGTCTTTTGGAAATTCAAGTAGATGAGAGCTATGCTTTTACAATATGCATTGAGAGCACATGGGAAGAAAATCATTGAAGCAAGACAAGTAAATGCATAAATAAATTCACAGAGAAATTAAGGTCATTTGCAGTATAATAGTATGAAAACTTAAAGGGATTTTTCCATAAAAATTAGATTAAAGCAGAATGGATGAGTTCTATAAAATTCCTGCAAGATATGTTGGTGTCTTCCATGTTTCTTAGCCATCCCTCCACTATTTTTAAGGGATATAGCCTAACTCTATTGAAAGACCACTGGGTAAAATGTGCTCCTGAAAAAGACGGACAACAAGAACTCTGTGATATAAGCATTTGAGGACTTGGCTTACTTTGTTGAGTTTCCTAATGGGGGAATCAAGTTAAACAACTCTATGGTTTTAATAAAGCAAAATCTTACAGGTCTCTGTCCCACCAGAGGTCTAAAATATTACCTTCCTAGTTTTCCTTGAGATAAGATATTTTTATAAATCACAATTTAGATTAGTTTATGAAACACACCAGAAATGTGACTCTGTAGAGCAGCGGTCCCCAGCTTTTCTGGCATCAGGGACCGATTTCGTGGAAGATAGTTTTTCCATGGATGAGGCTGGGGGATCATCAGGCATTAGATTCTCATAAGAAGCATATAACCTAGCTCTCTCACATGTGCAGTTCACAGTAGGGTTTGCGCTCCTATGAGAGTCTAATGCAGCCAATGATCTAACAAGAGGTGGAGTTCCACTCACCTGCTTGCCTCTTGCTGTATGGCCCAGTTCTTAACCGCCAGTCTGAGGTCACGGGCCCCTGCTGTAGAGGACCTGATAAGTGCATGGTTTGTTTGTTATGTGCTTCTCAGAATTCATGTAGGGAATAGCAGAGAACAGATGCAGAAGAGAACCTGGCAGTTTGATAAATATAGTCTCTGGACTATATGTTTTGCCTGAAGGTTCCAAAGATATAAACTTTTAGCTATTTTAAAAAAAATCACTTACATAAAAAATTCACCATTGAAGTTATAGTTATAAATTTAAGATTTCATATAACTAAACCCATTGGTTATGGCCTGTGGGATTCATTTTTCCTGTATTTTTGTTTCAGAATATATTTCCATATACCAAAAATAACTGTTATCCAATGAAGTATCACTCTGCTTTTAAAAGACTCTTCCGAGAGGTTAACTCTTAAACAGTATCAATGCTAAGTTTAGGCCATTGCTTTCATATGGATCTGAGAGCAAGGACTATATTTAGAATAATTAATGCTGCAATCTGAACCAAGGGAAGGGCTGTTTCCCCTCATTTCTCTAGGGAACTTCATTAAAACTCCACTCAGATTATTAATATTACATGTTAGAAACATACTTGATTAGACATATGACCTAGACAATGTTATTTCCCTCTGTCCCGTTATTTTAAAAATAAGGTAACCCTTTTGAATGGAATGCTGATACTTAAAATTATTTTCTCTCTGATATGGAAACATCACTTAGCTTCATCATGTGAATCTTGTTTAATATAATAAGCATCCCTTCAGAAGTTTTTTCCCCC